TTCCACCGTAGCAGAGATAAGAACCTCCAGGTCCACCGCAGCATAGATACAATATGAGCAGTATTAGAGTTTCTCTCTGATAGTATTACGGATGAGATGTACAAGTACGGTGGACCCAGGGGGGTTTCACTCGAATAGGACTACTGTTGGCACGTTTAGTACACCGCACAAAACACTTGAGGTCTCTGTGATCTACTTTAATTTCTAATTCTTCCTTCAGATGGCGTCCACATGCGTTTATTGGCGCTTTTTCAAATTCAAATGCCCCTTATCTATACTCGCGGTCCCAAAAGTTCGACTCATACTTTGTAGCAGGATAAACAAAGAATAATAAATTGCACCCCCATCATCTCGCCCCCACCAATGTAGAAAATTCGTTGAAACACTTCAAAGTGCTTGAAACTGTCTTTCCGTTTCGGAACCTTGTAATGTGAAGATTGTAAGCGAATTGTATACGTATTGAAATTTTATTGAGAGGAAGCTTTGCAAAAAGGAAACGTGTGGCCTTCATTCATTGAGATATAAATATCAGGTATGATTAATTCATTAATTATTTCATTATTACTTATACCCTTATTTTATTTATTATTATTTATACCCTTATTTTATATATTTCAGAATGGGAGTCCATAATTGTTGCGTGCCTGATTGTTTCGACCGAACATCACCGCGGCATAGATTTCCTAATCCAAAAAAAGATTCAATTCGATTTCGACAATGGATCGAATTGGTAGGAAATGAAAATTTGTTGAGCATGGATCCTGGCAGAGTGTTCCAGAATTACCGAGTTTGCCACCAACATTTCAAACCTGAGGACATATAATCAAATATGTTTTTACAATGGAATGTCATTCCCTCTCAAAACTTACCGCACAGTAAGTACAAATAGCAATTTATTCGATGTTTCAAAACCATCAAATGTATCAAATGTAATGAATGTACTACTGAACAGTAATGAATACAATACCGGAAGCAATAATCAATACGATAGAACCGGAATCAGAATTCAACAGAGTACCGGAACCGGAAGAACCTGAACCGGAAGTTCCATCTACATCAAGAGCAGATGAAATTGTTATTGAACATCCGACTACTGAACGTAAGTATTAAACTGATAATTTATTTGATTTTGTAAAGAATGTGGGTGAACCTTGATTTAATTTTTTTTCACCACTGACTTCATTTTTCTTATTCTTATTTATTGCTATCTTTCTTCAATCATTAATTTCTCCTTGTTAAATATCATAGTATTATTTAATATTGACTTAGTGGTGAAGGATTGTTTTATATTTCACGTGTTTTGTGATTTTTTAGGTGTCCGTGATACGTTATTGCGAGGTGTAGGAGTTGCACACTCTGTAGATTTGACGCCGAAAGCGCGTTCGCTATATAAACATGCGCGCAAAATACGAAACAAATTGTGCACATACAAAATGAGACCTCTAAGCTTCAAGAATAGATTAAAACTAGCAGAGAAGCAGTATAACTTTCCTGAAACGAATTTAAGGAAGCTTTAAATTTTTGTTTGGCGCAATTAAATAGAAAAAACAAAAAGGCCAAAGGCAACAGATATTCGACGGAGGAAAAATTAATGTGTTTAGCGTTATACATATAAAACATCTGGAGCGGCATACAGATATTTATCAGCATGGTTCAAATTACCATCGAAAACAACCATAAACCGATTGTTGAATAAAATTCCTGTAACGGCTGGCATAAATGAATATATTATTGAAAATGGTCAACAAGCAGTGCAACCATTAAAAAAGAAAGACAAATTTTGCTGCCTCATTTTTTATGAGATTTTACTGAAACCAAATGTTGAATATAACATATACAAGGACAACACTGAAGGTGTACACAACGGACATATTATCGATCACGCTTTGGTGTTTATGATCAAAGGAATAATAAAAAAGTGGAAGCAGCCGTTGTGTTACACTTTCAGTAAAGGTCTCGCGAAGCCGGACACAATAAAAAATATTATTGTATAGTTGGTGAAAAAATTAAACGGAATAAATGGTATGTACTCTCTACTAATCACTGTGTGGAATTGTATAAAATACAAAAATCAATATCATTCTGAATTTTTCATTCATAACTGTACGAATGTTTACAGGCTTACACATACTTGCCATTATATGCGATCAAGGATCGACAAATAGGTCGGCCATAGAGGGGCTGGTAAATGAGGCCAGGGAGGTATTTCTCAGTATTTCTAAGCGGTGTATTCTAATTAACGGCAAAGAAATAATTCCTTTGTACGATGTGCCTCATTTGCTGAAGGGGATTAGGAATAATTTGTTAAAAAAAAATCTTGTTTGGAGGTGTAATAGTGAGGAAGTGAAAGCAACGTGGGACCACATCGTTACAGCATATGAAATCGATTGCGATAATGATGACATGAGAATTATGCCTCGCATTACTAAGCAGCATGTATATGATGATATGCTTAAGAAAATGAAGGTTTCATATGCGGCGCAAGTTCTCAGTCACACAGTGGCCGCGGCCGTAAATACTATGGCCTGATATAGTAAGCAGAAAAGGCTACAAATTTTTAATTTATATTTTCGAACTGTGAAATCATTCATCATTATTTTTTTCAGACATGACAGACTCTACGGGGAAGTTCAGAATGGACCAAAGAGGAAGCCAAATTGGGGAAATCCTCACATATTTCAATAGCGTTTTTGACAGCTTGAACGGCGATTCGAGGACACCGCCGACAGAGAAAATTTTAAGAGGTGCCGTAAGTTTAAGGTCGAAACACGTTTCTTTTTGGGAACGAGCTTGTTCCTCATTACAAAACATATTTTTTAGGGAACGAGGCACAGGCGGTCGTTCCGTGCCTCCTTCCCTAAAAGATTTAATTCTCACAATCCAAGGTTTTATTGTTATTAGGGAAAAATTATTAAAACATGGTATAAAATATTTCTTTCCACGTAGCCTTAATCAAGATACGTTAGAAAATTTCTTTAGCCAGATAAGGCAACACTCAGTCAGAGTGAATACTATTAATTCAACTCAGTTTCAAGATTCGTATAAGGCACTGCTCATTAAGAATATAAGCGGTGTGCACTTTGTTGGCAGCAATTGCGAGGAAACTTTTGATCATTCTTTATTACAACTACAGAATTTAATACGAGAACGACCGGATAATGTACAAATTCAGGTACAGGATAATTGCAATTTGCATATACAGGGTGTCCCAGCTAACTCTGGCATCTGAAATATCTCGCTTGTTTTTCATGATAGAAAAAA